CTGCTGCTGCTGCTACTAGTACTGCTCCTACTCGGGCTCCTATTGCTGCTACTACTACTGCTACTACTACTACTACCACCACTACTACGACCGCTACTACAACTACTCCCCGTACTACTCCCACTTCTACTGCTACGCGTCCTGCACAACGACCGGTACCGGTACCCGTGCAGTGGTATGACCAGCACTGCTGCTACTACTTCTGCCCTACCCGGCAAACGGGGAGGAAAATAATCCCAAGGGCTGATTCTTATGCAACTTAAGTTTCAATTCAACTTACTATGTGGGAGCTCCCCCGCGCGAAAGCGGTGCACCAGCCGAACTGGCAGTTTGCAGTAACGGAATAGGCATGAATCCGAGACCCGAATCTGTTGGGCACACTCAGCGAGAAGGGACAAGTTCCAAAATGGTGTCAGGACAAGAAGCCCTTTCACCCATGGTGACTGAAAGTTCGTCTTCACGATCTCCCGCCTCGGGAAATGCCAAGTTAATCAGCACGAGATCCTCTGCTATTGAGCGGCTCAGCCATCAGATCAGTGTGGCCAACTGGCGTTCACGATTCACGGCTACTCTTTTAAATCTTGGGCAGCCAAGAGGCTGCATCTCCGGAGTGTCGCCCTCCTCGAATATAGTGGTGAAGAATCGAAAGAAACAGCTTCAAGATGCTTCAGGGTTGAGGCCGGCACAGTCTCATTCTGTGCTTGAACTAGCTGTATCATGTGCCCAAGGCTTGAGCGACAAGGTTCGGGATTGCATCCCTCGCGAGCCTCGATGATGTAGGTGATGAGCGTGAGGGTTTCATCAAAGTCGAAGACTACAAGCTTCACCTGCAAGCTTGTCAACAGTAGTGGGTTTGCTTCATAATTCGTGTCTGGTCTGAGTCTACGGACGTGCATAGCTACTACAGCTTGGCATGGAGTGGATTCATGGAGTCTATTATTTTGCATCCAGCCTGCAAGAGCAGGAGTCTATAGATTAAAACATGGAAGGGGCAGGGCAACGACAGGCTACAAGGAACCGGGATGTCCAAACGTTGCAATAATCACCAAACGAACACAACTTCTGCACGGGAAAGCGGTGCTGATGCACAAACAAAAGAACGAGCGTACCGGTTTACGCAATGGGATCAAATGGGAATATGAGGTTTATGGGAAAGCCATGTGTCAGTTGTCGTCGTGGTCAAAGTCTCAGTTGCAGCAAGCAGTAGCACAGTCGACATGGCCAGCAAACACGGTTTTCCACGAGGTGCACGCGTGCGTAAATCTAAATGGAAAGTCTATTCTTGCCCGTCTTTGCACTAGTTCAAGCTTGTTTTGCCTCCCACCTAGCTGGGACGAGCCTGTATAGCTTGATGAAAAAGGTTCATACTTGTTGTTGTGCTGCAAGCATGTGACTCTTCCTGCAAGGCGTGTAGTTTCAGAAGGGTTGTGTGCATCCTGATAGCAAAGCCTTGTGTGAATGTTCTGCAATTCCCGCCCACCACGACCTGTCAAATGTGGGAGTTGGGGATGTTCGACTCGGCCCGGGCCTTCTTTGGGGTTGGATCTCCTTTTGCCTGGGCCATTATAATAATTACAGAAGGCCGAGAGAGTCTCATATAGTCTCAGCGTTGGAATTGCATGAGACGGGTCGTGACCTCCACCGTCTCAGGTATTGAAAAGTCAGGAGCGCTGCACATGTGCTTGCAAGTGAATGTGCCTTTACTCCAGCGTTCAAGCTTCACTGCCTTAGTGATGAGCTAAGCCACTTAACCAAGACTAAACACTTCTTTCCTTCGCTAAAGTGCGCCTGTGCTTCCTGATCTGACCGACAAGGAGACTGGAGAATCGTTGGTATGTTGATCGAAGCTATCCGCAAGTGCTACAGCAACAGAACCGCAACTCGACAAACAAATTCAGATCCCTGCAATAGTGCCAAGCCACTGGAGGATCCACTTTGGGAAAGCAGTGCGAGAAGAGTGTATCACCAGCGAGCAAGGTAGCACAAGACAGTACAAGACTACAGGGTTCCATGATGTGTCTGAACAATCAAAAGTAACTACATTTTGAAAGCTCCTGCACCCTTCGGTCAGGAAACCGGGAAGCGATCGTTCGGACTCCGAAGGCTGCGTTGTGAGCACGAGCCTTGGTCTGTTGCAGTGTGTAACGTTGCAGGAAGGCTTACCGGCGAGCGGCCAGTCAATTCACAGTTTCGCTGTATCCTCAAGGCTTGCTTTCGGTGGAGGAAGAAGTGCTTAGGGCAAGGTCCCTTCCACTTCTCGTGAGGCAATGGCATTGCGGCAGGCATGCTGCCAGCCTTGTATGCAGTTCGTCCCGAATATCACATCAATGCAATATGCAATCTCACAAAAAGCGATCCCACTGATAAGCGATGACGTCCAGTACAACAAAAGCAAAAGCCTACGTATGAAAGCAATATATTCCGGACGCAGCTTGACTCACCAGTATCCCTTTGGCTATCACAAAAGAAGCGAGGCTTCGAGCAGCATAGGCCGTTGGAAAGTTTAGTGAATGTTGCCTTCCGAACAAATGCCAAGCGGCATTTAAAGGCAGCGCGGGAGCTGGACCTCCGGGGCGAGTAGGGCCTGTCAACGCAAAGTTGGGAACTTGGTCGGATCACTGAGTAAAATCGGAGTAAGTCACGCGTTGACGCTCAAGGCTTGCGCATG